GGGGGTAATTCGGAGGTCTCATTTGGTACCATAGTACGACAGAAATTAGGGGGTTCGGGAGCATGTTCCCACCGAACAGTTTGAAAAAGAGTAGGCTCGGAAATTATATTTCTTGCATTTTTGGCAGCAATTTGAAGAATTTGGACGAAAAAATGCTCCAAAAAATTTCTTCATAACTGGTTTTGTTCAGTTTGTATAACTTGGTGGGGGATAAATTCGCCGACAAATTAGCATTGTTGAACTACCTGGCAGTGGGAAAGGCTCACAATTTTTAACGAAGACAAATAATTATGGGCCTTATTTTTTTTTTAGCGTGGCTGAGCCCCACTGTAGCCCTGAGAGAATATCAAATTGAAGTAAAATAACATGAAAAATGTAGTTGACTCTGAAACCAAGTTCGCTTTCCAGCTCAGCCCCACTGTAGTCCTGAGAGAATATCAAATTGAAGTAAAATAACATGAAAAATGTAGTTGACTCTGAAACCAAGTTCGCTTTCCAGTTCTTAACCTACTAGTATAGTGAGGGTAAGAGACCTTTAGTAAATAAAGCTCTGTATATGAGTTCGGTCGTTATTCATATGCTGTTACTTTTACTATAACTCATAAAATTACTGTTTTGGTGGGAAGTATGTTGATTAGCTTCAACTAAATGTGCATAAATAACTGTTTCTTTGTTTGACTTTTCTTGACTTTGACTGATATTGATCTGTCTACTTCAACTAGTCTGCTATATTCTTGCTCATAAACACTTGAAAAACACCCAGTTTCCGAGTTTAATTTAATTAACTTTAAGATTATTTCTTCCGGTACTTCTGAATCTTAATTAGTTGATAAAATCCTGGTTGCTGATAAAATTTCATAAAACATGTTTAGATTGTATAAAATTATTTTCTGAGCTCTTTCATGCATTTTTTAAACGGATAATTCTTGGTTTTCTGAAAATATACAAATAATCTTTTAAGTTAGACTCCTCGTGAAACAACAACAGGAAGTCCATGTATAATTATGGGCTAATATAGAAAGGTTATATGCACCAGCATCTCATGGGAGAAGTACGTTTTACCTAAATAGAGCGTAAAATCTTGTGCAGATGAGGCATTTGCCAAAAGCATATCATGTGTGGATCTGGCAACAATACATGCGTGCCTTAATGGGCCATTGACTTATATAGTTCCGCTCAATTTGTCCTGCTGATCGATGGTGTCCATGAGGGGATCCACATGCTAGCGAAATAGTTGTCGACAACTTTGTTGTTGTCGACGAAAAAATGTAATCGACGACTAAAAATAAGGTGTGTGACAAAAGTTGTCGATAAAAATTTGCTACATTTGTAGAAGTTGACATGCAACAAAGTAGTTTCCCTTTCCGAAGAAGAAACTTGACTTTTTGTCGACCGATCAATATTGCCCATGCACAAAGGCGTTTTTCTAGTGTGGAGAGTAGCTACCGCAGAAATTAATAGTCGACGAATAAAAGTTGTTGATAACAAATTGTCATCTACAACAATTCACCGTATAGTCGGCGGAGACCCTGTAAGGCTAATTATGAAAATGAAAACTAAGTTGCTTTAAATTATCCGTACTAGCTAATCTAGCAAAATTTACTGTATGAACGTGAGCGCGCAGACTTTAACACATTTTTTTACCTTGGTTACTTTCCAGGACACAAAAGAAAAGGATCCGTAAAACGCTCTTTGTTTTCTGATTTTACCCACTTCCGAGTTTCCACTCTATAATTATACGACATATGTCGTGCAATTCAGTTTCCTTCGACCTGACAAAAGTATGCAACTTGTCAAACCATTCGATATTTCAGGGCCTCCACAGACTTGTTTGATTTGTTGTCGATGACAATTTGTTATCGACAACTTTTAATTGTTGACCATTAATTTATGCGATAGCTACTCTCCAATATTGTCGGCAATACTGATTAGTCGACAAAAAGTCAAGTTTCTCTTCGGAAAAGGGAAATTACTTTGTTGTCAACTTCTACAAGTGTAGCAATTTTTTATCGACAACTTTTGTCACATACCTTATTTATAGTCGTCGACAACATTATAATTTTGTGCGATTACTACTCCACACATGCACAGACCAGAAAAACGACTTTGTCGACAATACTGATTTGTCGACTAAAAGTCAAGTTTCCCATCGAATATTCATGCAAAGTTAACTAGCTAAAATTTTCAAATGTTTTACGAATATTAATCGACGTTAAAATTAAAGAGCTTTGACAACTGAAGGTTGTCATTTAGCTAAATGGTATATCTTCAGCTGAAGATAACACTCTTCATTATTTTTAACCGAATTGGCTGTGGGGGGAACCATCCTGGGTACCAATGTCCACAATCCCATGGGGAAAACGATCACAACGACGACCACCCTTCACAATCCGCCCGTAGCTCCGCGAAGACCAACAGAAAATAGAACTGTTAGTTTAAAGTGTTGTATATATAATAGCAGTAATTCAATACCTTTAGATAATACTGTAGTTACGCCAATTCGCGTTGACGCGCTTGAAGGTGCTCTTTGTGGGCATCCCAATTCATCATTCGTTTTGAAACTCTGTTCAGACTTGCGTTTCGGTGCTCGTCTCGGTTACGATGGTCCTCGCATGTCAAAATTTTCGAAAAACCTCAAGTCTGCCATTGACAATCCAACTATTGTTTCAACTAACTTAGCTACGGAAGTTGCTCTTGGCCACACAGCTGGTCCTTTCACCAATCCGCCATTTGCTAATTTACAGGTTTCGCCAATTGGCATTGTACCTAAAAAGCATTCAGATAAATTTTGAACCATTTTTCACCTCTCGTTTCCAAAAACGGGAGAATCAATCAATTCCTTTATCGAGAAAGACGACTTTTCATTGCAGTACATAAAAATCGACGACGCAATTGCGGCTTTAATCCGATTAGGCAGAGGCACTTATCTAGCTAAAACTGACATAGAATCTGCTTTTCGTCAATTCCCTGTTCATCCTGACGACTGGGAGTTATTAGGCATATATTGGAACAAGTCCTATTATTTTGACAAAGTGCTGCCATTTGGTCTGCGTAGTGCGCCGTATATTTTCAATCAACTTTCGGATGCACTTGAAGGGATTTTACTCAACAAGTGTTTTATAAGCTATGTTGGGCACATTCTAGACGATTTTCTCATCATGGAACCACCGGCCCAAACTGGGCTACCTTCTCAAGCATGCCAAACTAGCCTTTCTAGCATGTTGCTAACATTCCGCACGTTAGGTGTTCCTATTGCCGAGCATAAAACTGAAGGACCCAGTCTCATTATAGAATTTCTAGGCATTATCATTGACTCACAAAAGATGGAGGCTCGTCTTCCATCCGATAAATTGAACCGTCGATTTGTTGATTTAAATTTGTGGCACACAAAAAAGTCAGCTACACTCCAAG